GTCCTTTCTCCATTCCTCAACTTCACATACTTTAATATAATAACGAAAACCAGACCCATCTACTGTGTAAGAAAGAAACTGCTTAGACCACATTGGTATCGGCTGTCAGTGTTACAGACGCTTGAGTACCAGGTTGTGTTCTGCAGTAGTTGTGATGCCAGCATTGAGTAAGCAGTTCTTGTGCCTGATGCTGGGGTCTTCAGAGATCCAGGTTACCCAAAAGAAACCCAAGTTCTTGGGGGAAGTGATTGCTTGGAAGTCTGAAACAGAAAATACCCAAGATGAGCATGGAACAGAGCAGGATACAGCATACCCCAGGACTGCTGGGGTTCTGGCAGTGAGCTTGGGAGCCGACTCCTGCCCTGAGCCTGCTGGCCAAAGACAGCACAGTGTGAGCGTTGATAAGAGTAACTGCACTGGATTGAAACACACCAGGGAGTTTAAATCCATTTGTTCATAATTATAACCCAAACTATACCAATCCCACTCCTGACTCGTAACTGCTAGAGAATGCTAGTAAACAAACTCATTCTTTTCAACATTAAAGAAAGAGACAGATTTAAGTATCTAGCCTCTCCTTGCCCCTATGACTTGAATCACTGGGTAACCAACTAGTAAACAGGAAGAAATTTATCTTTATAAAAATCAGTGAGAAACTGAAAAAGCAATGACAAAATTAGACTATCAGCCTTGTGTGTTCACTAGTGAGTCTATATCTTGATCATTTTACCTGTGGACCTTTGATGATTTTTACTGAATCAAAAAATAGACTCACAGGCAAGTCTTTAGTTAATTACATGTGTGTTCAAGTCCCACTGGAGTTTCTAGGCATCATGAATCAGGTAATTAGGCTGGGTTTATAATGGCTGAATTAATAGTCAGGTAGTGCTGCTGACCTACCCCAAGTCATTACTGACAAACCATCTTCTCCAAATTACCTGTCTCTGAAGCAGATAATAGGTACCTACCTACCTCTTAAGAGTTTCTTGGGTTTTCTGCTTATGAAGTCAAGTGCTAGATAGCTATTAAAATGCTTTGAAAATGGTAAAATGAAAACTCTAGGAGTACACTGTGGAGAAACCAGGTGTTTTTAAACAGTGTCTTGGGGAAGTGCACTAAGTACCCCAAACCTCTAATTATCCTCCTCCTCGGTGTATAGTTGGGAAGGCTGTCTAAATGTATGGTGACACTCCTGTCACTGTTGATATTTTTCTCTAGATGGTTGGTTTGACTTAAGCATTCAGAATCTGTAGGCTGGGAATATTAAAGGAAAACTACCTTTTTTCATAGTTTCTTGCTAGTTGCAACCAGGAACCTATATAGGATTGGATTTTTGGTTTGACCACCAGAGCCTGGGGACTTTAATTGTGGTTCCCCGCATCTAAAATTTACTTCCTCTCTGTGGCTTGTGCAAACCCATCTCACTTTCCGTCCCGTGCTTTCACTTCCTCGTTTTATGGAATTGTTTCTTCCACTGGTAGAGTTCATTTAAGGCACCGTGTTTTGGACTAATCAAAAGAAAACACCAGTAAACAGAATAATTTTTCAAACTGGAAGCTAAAATTGTCTTTTTGGGACTATCTGGTAAATTTCTCAAGCAGTAATTTGTAGAGTCCTTTCAAGGGGACTGTTAGGCATTGACGTTGAGTAGCTGCAGACTTCTTTGAGGAAATCCAGGAAGAGAGAGCAGACACTCCTGTAGCCTCATAGCAGAAATAAGTACTGCAGAAAGGTAGGGCAAAAAGTGGCCTAACTCAGTTCTTTTTAACATGGGTGTGGTGTTCCATGCCTGTCTGGTGACTCACAGAAGACCACTTTCATGAATCAGATTATTGGGCTGGCTTTCAAGCAGTCCTGATCTAATTTTACAGTAAATGCATGAAGTGTGACATTAAAAACAACAACAGCAACAAACCAACTATGGGAGAAAAGACAGGTAAAGGTAACTTGATACCAGAATTATGCACTGGCTTAATTAATGGTGATAGACTTGGGTTCAAAGTATATCAGGCTTTTTGCGTGCTGAAGAGTTAAGTGGCAGAGGCGGGGCTGCGGTGTGGAGGAGAGGTGGGACTTGTCCCCTGCACCTGCCCTTGGGTCTGCTCTGCGCACTTCACCTGGGACTCAGGGCATATCAGTTTCATCTGTGACGTGGAGCTGGTCCACTTACCTCAGAGGTGTTGTGACAGTGGAGTGAAATAATGCCCTATTTTATAAAAATCTCAGATGCCATCAGGTGGAAGTCACACCCTTGCTTTTGTACCGCTACAAAAAAGAAACGCTGGCAGTTAAATCAACTTGGTTTCAAGTGTAATGCACCTGAACTGCAGAGATGTAAAGTGCAGTGGCAGGCTGTGTTTTAAAGGTGAATAAAATACAGCATGCTGGATGTGAAAACAGTTTGCTGTATAGTCCTCAGGAATCATGTTTGATCTTAATTGTGTGAGTCTGGGGAATGAAGCGGAGTTATCAGGAATAAATAATGGGGAAGCACTGAGAAAACTGGGCAAGACAGCAGCCAGCTACAAGGAGGACGAGAAGAGAGAGCCGTATTGGTCTTCACTCAGAGGATATTGGCTGCCAGCAGCACAGGCTTCTCACACCCGTTCATTTTCCAAATGTGGGAAAGTGTGTCTGGGTAGGAAATTCTGTTCTTGGTGAAAGTTAATTTTTACTGATTTTCCTTCAGATTGTTTTTGGGAGGGGCTGGCAGGTGTCCTCCCATGTGAACTGAACTGTCCTCTGCTGTGTGCTGTGTTGACTTAGAACTTAATCGCCCTTGGTTAACTGGAGTCATCCCGGGCACAGTGTCAGGAAGGCTTGGGCAGCACGGGGGCACCACTGGAAACAGTGAGGTTCCAGCATCGCATTCACAAGTAGGCCTTTGGATATTGAAAGAGAGCGTAGTCTTGTGTGCTATTCATTTTAGGCTTCTTCTGATCTTTGTTGAAGTTACTTTATACTCAGAAATGTCTTTTGCTCACAGAATGGGTTTCTTCCCATAGTAGTACATAAGAAAAAAATGGTGGCGTTGTTAACCTATGTCTGCCTTCCCTTTGGTGCAGTGGAGCACTTAATTAGCCATCGATGAGGATTCTAAGAAAAAGTTCATGTCTTAGTAAAGCACGAGACCTAGCAGTTTGCTCTAACAAAGAAAAGGTTTAGAGTTACTCTAGGTGAATGTCTTGTAGAGAATTAAGTCCTTGCTAAAAATAAAATATAAAATCTTTATGCCTGAAGTAGAGGTGGGTCAAAAAGTAAAATATTTTAGGTTTTATGGCTCTTTATCCATTGCATAGTCTTCCTTTGCTTTTAAGCCCTTTAGAGATGTGCAAGTCATTTTTCTCTAGAGGTCCCTCTGTGTTAGAAGGTCCCTATCATGGCCAGGCATCCTTGGACAACTGGCTGATTTTAGAGCCAGGGTAAGGAAATACAAGAGGAGCCTTGTGTGGTGGCGAATGCCTGTAATCCCAGCATTCAAGAGACTGAGGCAAGAGGATCACTGCGAGTTCGAGGCCAGTCTGGGCTATATAGTGAGTTCAGGGCCAGCCTGAACTACACAGTGAGGGTCTGTCTCCAAGAAAAAAAGAAAAGAAAGAAAGTATAAGAGGAGCCTGAAGCTTCCTGTAGTGCCAGTAAGTGAGGAAGTGTTGGAGAAGAAAGAAGATCAGATGGGGCATAGCAAAAGGAGCCAGCAGTCAGCTTGGAAGATGCCCCAGTGGGAAAAGCTAGAACAGTTTGAGCCACAAAATAAATTGTATTATTGGATTATAACCCACAGAACAAGCATCCATGAGTCCATGACTGTATAAACAATGGAATAAAATAATTAAGTCTTCCTTAAGGAAGAATTCTAAACAAGTATAGAGGGATCAAGGGAACTAGAACAACATTTTAAAAAATCACAGTAGTGACTGCAGCAGGCAAGATGTGCAGAGAAATGCAAAAGTTGCTGTACAGAACTTTAAAGAGAAGCAGGGTATTTGCATAGCCTCAAAGTTACCTACCTATCCCCAGTATGTGTAATTACTCTTTATCATGTTTGCAAACTCTTTATCAGTCCTCCCTCCAGGAAGTGTGGCTTACTTCCCTTCCCTCTGGGTATGCGCTGGACTTTCGGACTTGCTCCTAACATAGAGTCCATGAAGGGATGGATAAGTAGTAACTTTACAGTGGTATGATCACCTAGGCCACATGGCCAAAGTTCACCCTACCAAGAGCAAGTCACATGCTCTGATCTGCCATAAGGACAAAGGCAGTTCACCCTGTGATATTCTGGATTCGTCCCAAATATTGTAATCCTACCAAAACACCAGATCATCTAGTTACTCTACAAAATAACTGACAAATACTAACCTCAAGAAATGTCGGGCAGGTGTGTGGCACATGCCTGTAATCTCAGCACTCAAGAGCCTGAGGCAGGAAGATCCCTGCAAGCTCAAAGCCAGCCTGAACTGAACAGTGAGACCCTGTCTCAAAAAGACAAAAGAAAAAGAAAAAAGATATGTCAAAGTTATGAAACACAAGGAAAAACTGAAAAACTGTCAGAGATTGGAGCAGACTAGGAACATGGTGCCTAAATGTGACATTGGTAGTCTGAGATGGACCCCAAAGACTGAAAAGGACTTAAGTGGAGAAAACAGTAAAATCTGAATAAAGTCTGAAATACAGTTAATAGTGTCTGTTGTACTGGTGTTACTATCCTAGTTTTGATGGATGTACCGTGGAGATATAAGGCTTGAACTTTGGGGGAAGCATGGTTAAAGGGTGTGTGGGAATTCTGTGTCCTCTCTGCATTTCTTCTCTAAATCCAAGATGATTTCAAAATAAAATGTTTTTTAAAAGTAGCCAACTTCTTAGCTTAGATTGACCATCAGCTTTTTCTTCAGCAGTTAAGCCTTATTAACCCTTGGCCTCATTTATATCTACAAGATATATATTTGGTAATTGATTTTGATTTTGGAATGTACTTGTTTTTAATAGTATTTTTCTCTTTCCAGGGGAGGCACCTGTTACAGAAGTTCCCTCAGCGTTTGTGATCCTATCTGTGTGCAGTTTAATGATATTAATAGTGTTAATTGCAAACTGTGTTTCTTGCTGTAAGGACCCAGAAATAGACTTTAAGGTGAGAACAGATTGTAAGAGTATTTGAAATCATCTTGTGACATGCTTATCTATCATACAGTGGCCTTATATCCCAGCTTCCTGGGAGGAGGAGTCATCAGGGCCAGATAGTAAATGTCTTCTGCCCTATTGAGCAGTGAATAATGCAGGCCTTCCAGCCCCTGTGACAACTACTCAGCCCTTAGCTCTGCTATTGTACTGCATCAGACACAGATACTGTACTTCGTTAACACAAGATCATAGCTTTGTGCCAGTAAAATTTGGTTTACAAATGGGTGGTTTGGATTTGGCTCACTGGCTGTAGTTTGTCAGCCCAGCCTTAGAGCATCTCTGACAATAGACACCTTCTGTGGTGAGTTGTAAGCTTTTGTTGAGAGGAATACAGCATGATGATCAATTTCACTTGCTATAAAAAAGGGAAGAACAGACTGGTTTTGTGTTTTTCCTAACTTTCCTAGGCTGGTGAATTTGTGGTCATTAGATCACTAAGGTGAGGGGTTCCCCCATGTTTTGTATATGAGGAAGAGTACTGAAACCTCAAGTTTATCTTGAAACTTTGAGTTTCCCAAAGAGAAGAACGCTGCCAACTGTAAAATCCTGGTGAAAGAGGATAACTGAGGGACCGGCTTTGTTACCTGTTAGTGGATGGATTCTACCAGTAAACTGCTGGGAGCTCCTACCCTTGATCTTGCTGCATGCCAGCTGGCCTGTATTAACGCTTAATATATGCTTGTTAAAAACAGTACCTGGGGGGAAACATGAGTACCTGCATGTAGGGAAAATGGCCTTAATTTGTACTTAGGGCAAGCCCAGGCATCCTGAGGGTCCCTGGCTCCATTTAGAAAACAAAATTTTCTCCTTGCTGAAATCTTTTGGTTGGGCATGTAGACCTGGTATTTAGAGCCTTCTTCCTGTTTTGTGTGCTATGTTTATGTGCAGTCTGGTGGTAGCTCTGGTAAAACTGCAAAGCTCTAAATCCAAAGGAATCCAATGAGTCACAGATGGCAACAAATACCCTTACTGGGTCACATGAACTTTAGAGTGGAGGAGGCCTGGCATCAAAATCACCCAGGCACCCGGGATAACAATACAGGTTCCCAGCCTTGACACTAAGTCACAGTCACCTCCCTCACTCAATAACAACATTCAAAATTGTGAGGACAATTGAAGGCAAGTATGAGGTATCAGGAAACATGAGAAGAGACCAACTTCAGTGTCAGCAACATTTATCTTTATCTTTGTCCCAAAATGTCCAGAGTTCTGTGCAAAGTCCTTCAGCAAAGCTGTTAAGGGAAACAGATTCTCCACCTACACTTGTGCCCTGGACATTAAGGGCCCAGAGCAGGGTCTGCAGTGATGTGACTGCCCAGGGGCTGGTGCTGTGAAGAAAGCTCCCTGGCCCAAAAAGCCTGACTCAAGACTGTGGCCTGTGCTGGCGAGTCCTGCCTGCAGCCCTGTTCTCGACCTTTAACATAGACGCTGTATTGGGCCTGAGAAGAGCACATTTGCCAAAGATAGGAAAGGTCAAGAGAGATTTCTGTATCCTAGAGTTTTTTGTGCATCCTCATTTTTAGAGTTATCATCTTTAGAAAATTGGATGTTTTTTATACTTAGATGCCACACTGTTCTGTGGAGTTTTGTTTTTGTTTAGGGGAAGGGGAGCTACTAGACATGGAACCCAAGACCTCACAAATGCTAGGCAAGTATTCTACCATTGATCTACATCCACCCCCAGCCCTACATACCACACAGTTTACACTGGTCTTTTCAGTTTAGCTCCTGATCATTTTTCTACCTGGTGTTGTAGTTCTTTTGTTTTGCTTTGTTTTTTGAGATACGGTCTCACTGTGTAGTTCAGGCTGACCTTGAACTTGAAATTCTCTTGCTTCAGCCTCCCAAGTGCTGAGATTACATGTGTGTACCACCATGCCTAATCCATTGTTGCAGTTTTTCCACTGTTACTCTTTCCAGAGAAATAGGACTCACTTAAAAATATTTTTTCTGAGTCTTGTAACTTCATTTTGATAGAAATCACGTTGCAATTAAAAATTCCATATAAAATTTTAAAATAAAATTACTTTATTTTGACATCGCATACAAAGAGACTTGTGAAAACAAATAGTGTTAAACCAATTGTATAAGCTCTTATAATTTAAAGACAAACTTTTGAATGTGGAAGAATATTTCCATTTTAAGTTGATCATTGTAGAAAATGATTATTGTAGAAAATTTTGCCTTTAAATTCAACCTGTCAGTTTTAAAAGTTACATCATGTACATACAGTTGTTTTTCAAATCCTTTTTACTCTGCTGTTTGGAATTGGAGAGCACAGTTACATGTGCTTTTCTATTCGAAGTAAGTATGAGTTGCAGAGGAAGTTACAGTATTGTGCTCCAAATGAATGCATTGTGCTACCTTAAATGTTAGCCGATGATTTTTAATATGTGCTCCCTTTGGTTTTAGGAATTTGAAGATAATTTTGATGATGAGATAGATTTCACACCACCAGCAGAAGACACCCCATCTGTCCAGTCCCCAGCAGAGGTCTTCACACTCTCAGTACCAAATATCTCGCTCCCAGCTCCATCACAGTTCCAGCCTTCTGTGGGTAAGACCTGGCATCCTAACGTCAGCTTTTCATGAATTATTTCTGAGCAATGCGAATGGGAAAAGAACTTACCGCATTCATAAAATAGTGGCTGCCCATCTTCTCTGCTTGTCTGTTTCTCTGCCTGCTGCTCCCAGTGAAGCTGTGTTCTAGTCAGACCCATCATTCTTGCAGAAGCTGCCTTGCCCTTGCTGGCCCCAGGGTCTGGCATAAGAATGAAACTGGCCTGTCTGATGCATTGAACCTGAACCCTTGGACAGAGCTCCTATCCTCTCTGCCAGCTCTGGACTTGGGTTGTCTTTCTGAGCAGACGTTGCTTTCTCCTCTGGAATGGGCTGCAAGTGGGGAAGTGGTGTGTATTGGATATGTTAATAAGATTGGCTCCTTAAGGTAGAGGTTTGATTAGATGTTAATCAATCCCTTGTTATAAAATAGAATATGACTGCTGGGTATGGTGGCGCATGCCTGTAATCCCAGCACATGGGAGACTGAGGCAGGATTGCCATGAGTTCAAGGCCAATGAGTCTACGTAGTAAGTTCAAGGGCAGGCCAGCCTCAGCTATATAGTAAGACCCTGCCTCAAAAAAAAAAAAAAAAGAATATGACTAATAATGAGTCAAAAAGGGAGTTTTTCCAAGACTGCTAAAAGAAAGCTGTTTTTAAGTCTATAGGCACATGCCCTGCTTTTTGTGGTACCGTGTACACAGTGTGGAGTGTGTTTAGGGCAGTGTAAACCCAAGGAGCATACATAACTAAAAGAAAAAGTAAGATGAAGTGGGATTCTGCTGGTACCTCTTATATAAAGTATTTGTGAAATCAGGTATATTTATGTTTATAGGTTTTACAACATTTACAAACAATGGCATATAGTATTTAGCTTTAGTGTTTGTAAGTAACATTAACCTAACTTCAACTGGGATAGTAAAGTTTGAGAGGAACCCACTGTATTCTTGGCACAACTTAAAGGAGGCTTATCTCTAAACTGAACTGCTTTGTTATTGCTTATTTGATAATTTGCTTTCCTGGTACTTAAGAACAGCCTTGAAAGGCTGCTTGGAGCTTTTATAGGCCTGTCGTTTAAACCTTTCTGAATTAATTTAAGTGGTAGAATCCCAACTCAGATCAGCATCAGTAGGAAAGAGACCCAGACCATAGGAAGAGTAAGGTGAAGCTGACCTGGGAGACAGCTAAGCCTTGATCCCCACTAGCACTCCATATCCATTGCTTGTTTTCCCCTCCCTTTGCGTGTCAGCTTGACCCCCAGTGGCTTCTCTCTTCTGTCATGAGCATGGCTGTGGGCAGGTCCAGGTCCATCTCCTTGTAGTTTTGCAACCAAGGAGAAAAGGTGTTTCTCTGTCCTTGGATCAGCAGGAAAACCTGGGGAAGACATTCTGGTTGGCCTCAGAGCCATCCTTTAGGGAAAAAGTGAGACAGATAAGAGACTAGTAGCTTCTCTTTAAAATCTGTTGAAATAGATGGGGGCATAGGCAGAAATGCCATGAGAGAAATTATAGAGCTGGGTAGCCATCCTGACTTTATCTATATCCATCCTTCTTTCTGTTTTACTGAAGCCTTCTATTCTAAAATGGCCCTTAATAGGGAGAAATCACTTTTAAGTTTCTCTGCTTAGAATATGCAAAGTATTTTTATCATCTTGGGATATACGGGGCCTTTCCAAGCATGACACTAAGCCTAGAAGCCATAAGGGAAAATATTGCCAAATCTGATTCATGAAATAAAATATTCTGCATGTAAAAATGTTCCATATGCCAATTTACATAGTAGCAAAAAGTATTTGTAACCTCCAGTGAAAAATTTTTACGTATTATCTTAGTTATTTTTCTCTCCTAGCTGAGACAAAATACCTGATGCCCCAGTGTTAGGGGAGGAAAGGTTTATTCAGCTCACAGTATGTAGAGGTTTCAGTCCGTAATAAGCTGGCTCTGAGGCAGGGTTGCTTGGCAGGGAAGAAGCAGATCATGGCGGGCAGACTGTAGCAAAGCAACAAGAGAGGAGGGACAAGCCTCATTCTGTCCCTTATATTGTATGCAGGCTAGCTGCCCTAAGGCCGGTATAGCACTCACACTCTTAATCCTAGCCAGAACTATGCCAAACCAATGGTGGACTGATTTACTAATCACACAGCGTTGATCCCAGCACCACACACTGTAGATACAGCCACCTCTGAAAAGCCCAGCCTTCTCCATGAATGCATGAGGCTTTGGGGAGACATCTAGACACAAACCATAATATGTATTAAGAGCTCACACAAATGTGTAGGGGAAAGAGTAATACGTACTCCACTAGAAGAGATAAGCTGAGGCTATGAAAGAAAAAAATCTTGGGAAGAAATTCAAATGGCCAATAAATGGGAGAACTTTATTATTAATTAAAGAAATGCAAACTTCAAGTAAGATAATAAGTAAAGATGGAAAGAAATGACACTAAGGTTGGGTGTAGTGCACATTCCTCTGGACGCTGAGGTGGGAAGATCATCTGAGACCACTTGGGGCAACACAGCAAGACCATCTCCAAAAAAAAACACCAGGCAGGTAGTGATGTGAAATAATCTGGATTGTTTCTAACTTTTTTTGCTATTAAAAATAAAGCTTTTACTGAAGTTGTCTTCAACATTGTTATTGAGCTAGTATATTTTATTTGTAGAATATATTTTTAGAAGGGGTTAAATAGTGTATGTTCTTAGAATTTTAATGGATATTGCCAGTTTGCCTTCCTCAGAAATTATACTAATTTGTATTTCTGCCCTTTGGGCATTAATAGCTTGTGCTGGTGTTTATGAAGCCAAGTTGATATCAGTTCAAATTAGATTGTTATAGATGTAAGATGTTAACTGTAATTCCCATGGTAACCACTAAAAATACACAGAAAAGGAAATCAAAATGGCACACTAAAAAAGAAAAAAGTCACATATGTACAAAATTAGATTTTTTTGAGGAACAATTTTTCTGATTTTAATAGTCAACAGTCTTGTTAGAAGTCAACGTTTACTAGTCTTTTTTAAGAGTTCTAACTTTTAAGGTTTATGTATTAACAAGTCTCTACAGATAGCTTTTTGTATCTTGAACTATTTCCCTATTCTATGATCAAAATAAGTTTTTTCCTCCTTTTTTCTTTTTCTTTGCAGGGGGCAGGGTGTGGTCATGGTGTTTGTGCTGGGAAACAAGGGGCTCACACGTACTAGATTCTGCCTTTTTATTTTTTGATGTTTTATAGTTTTGCTTTCACTTTGAGTCCATAACTCATCTTGAGTTGATCTTTGCATATGGGAATCCAAGTTCAGTATTTCTTGGAGATTACTGTAATTTTTTCAGCTTCATTTTCATTGATCCTTCCTTTCCTGTCTGCTTCTGTATGTACGTGCCTCTGTTCTAGACTTTCTTTTCTCTGTTGTTAGTTAATCTCTGTATTAGTTGGCTTTCTGTCACTGTGACAAATACCTAAGATAAACAGTTTAAAAGAGGAAGGTTTATTTTGGCTTACAGTTGCGGAAGTTTCAGTCTGTGATCACCCAGCACCATTGGATTCAGTCCTATTTTGAGGCAGAAACATCATTGTAGAGGGTATGGCAAAAAGCTGCCCACCTCATGGTGGCCAGGAAGCAGAGAGAAGAGGAAGGAACCAGGGAGGAGATATACCCCCAGTGACCTACTTCCTCTAACTGGCCCCACCTCCCAATAGCCCTTTAGCTATGAGTTCATCTGTGGGTTAATCTGTTGATGAAGTTAGCACCCTCATGATCTAATCACCTCTGTAGGCCCCACCTCTGAACATCGTTACATTGAGAATAAAGTTCTTAATACATGAATCTTCGGGGGAGACTTCATATTTAAGCTATAACAATCTATTCCTTGTCACCATACCAGTGTTAATTATAATAACTTCACTATAAAAATGTTGATTTACACATATCATCTCACCTTCTGTAGGTTCTCTTCATAGTGGTCTTTGTTACATGCAAGTTGTTAGTTTTGTTGAAACCAAGTTTATCTACTGTTTTTTCCTATTATTACTTGTACTTTGGATGCTGTATTTAAGAAACCATTGCCAAATCCAAGGTCATGAAAATTTGCCCCTGTGTTATCTTTGAGCTTTATGATTTTAGCTCCTAAATTTAGTTTTTTGATTCATTTTGGGGTATATTTTTTTAAATGTAGTATAAGGAAAGGGTCTAGTTTAATTCTTTTGTACATGGCTATCCAGTTTTCTGAATAACAGTGTTTGGAGTGTTCTTTCCCCCAATGGAATTGTCTGGGCATCCTTTTTGAAAATCAATCCATTATATTTATTTGGACTTGTTTCTAGACTCTCAGTTGTATTGATTGATATGTCTGTCCTTATTTTGATACATACCACTCTGTTTT